TGCTGCTGCGCCCTTTCATCCCCAGCACCTCGTCCCTCCCAAAAGGGAAGGGAGCGCACCCAGATTCCCCACTTGGGGGCAAAGAGCCTCGCGCTAGTGCTTCTCACTCCTCCCCACACCGGTTCCTGCGAGAGAGCTGCTCACCCTGACAGGAAATAAATGCATTTTTTAAAAATACCGCTATTTAAAACTATTTTGAAGTAGTTTAAAATACCGGCTGACACCCCTATGATCACTGGACTATTTTTAAGTGCCTAGGAAGGTGTGGAGATAAAGGGAGGCAGTCAGGAGCTTGGTTCTCCTGGCACCTGCCAGGCAAAGGAGCCCGGATGCTTCTTAAGGGCCTTGGAAGAGCACAGAATAGCATGAGGGCAGAGGAAACAGCCAAGCAGCCTCCTGCTTGGAAGGAAGCTCCTCTGTGGTCACTGCTGTGGTGTGTCAGCTACAGCATCATCGTGTACACCACGCCAAGAAAGATTTCCAAGGGGCAAAAAGATGGCAAACAAAATGTATGCTGTCACCATAATTCTCCAAAGAGGTTCCTGTTGCTACAACAGCTTTCAGAGCAGTGCAAAACCCCCCCTATGCCCCATAAATTTGTATCCCATAGAGTAAAACATACAGCCCTTGAGCAGTTCTGACAGGTTATCACTAAACTGCCCTTGATTCAGAGTTGTATCGCAGCCATGAAAGGTGCACTAGCTTCTGGATAAGGGCTGCAGGGCTTCACTGCAAGAATATACAAGCCCTTGTGCTCCCACGTTCCCCTTTACAAGTTCTCACTCCGGAGTTACTATTTTGAAAGATTAAAGCAGCAGTGTCAGGGAAAGCAGAATTTATAAAGCACTTTATATAGATAAGGCAGGCTTACAATTTCAGTGTTTAGGCTGGTAAAGCACAGGATCGAGGCAGCTGTTTGCAGTAAGCTTTCTAACTACACCCTTGTAGGAGCTACTGCTTTGGGGAGGTAGAAAAAAAAATAAAATACATTTTCTAGGATATATAATTGAGAAACATAAAACCTAAACTTCTGTAAGCCTGCAGAAAAGCAGATATTTGGATCCCAGTCTCCCACCTCCCAGACTGGCCTCCCCCTCTCTAGGTTCTGCTTATGCCTACATTTGAGGTAACAGAATATATATTAAATAGTTGGCAAGATAACATGTGGCCCTAAGGAGATCCCAAATCTTGCAAGTACAGTTGCCTGCTTAATCTTTTTATTAATTCACAGATGAAAGAGAGGCATCAGTTTGCATCCAAACAAACTGATACATACAATGACTTATAAATTAGAAGAGTGCCACAACATGGAGTACACCAGCAACTGTATAAAAATATTTTATTAATAAGACATAAATAAGCACATATTCCCCTTAAACACATTTTTTTTTTCAGATAGCATCACAAAACCCTCTTAAAATAGTTGACAACAATCCTCCTCTCCAGGGCCCAGCTCACATAGGCATCACCTCCACAGTATTAGATAAAATTCTGTATTCATAGGAAAAAGTTAATACAATTTGGTACAGTTGCTTGAGAGTGGGTATTTACAGGAGTACTTTTGCTGGCTCTAGTTTTGCTGCTGAAATTGCACATATACTCCTCAAAGGGCTACAGGCCTTGCTTAGACTAGAGAAAAGTCCTTTCCAAATCAAATGAAAAATATTACAAATTATTTAATATGCTTGTTCCTGAATTACAGGCCTGATGTGAACTTTTTAAAAGGTGTGCCTGATAAGTCAATGCTCTGCTGTCTGTAGATCTAGATCAACACTTTGTATTTTCTACTCCAAACAGACTAACTAGAGTTAGGACGTTGGAGGAGAAGCCAACGAGAGACAAAAATGACTCAAAAATGCTTCCTTTCAAATGGGGCTACGATGCCACTTCAACAGTGATGATTTCACATTTTCCTGTATCTTGATCTGTGCAGGTAACATGCAAGGACCCATCCCTAGATAAAAGAGAAAGGTAAGTTTAGGACTACCTCAACCCACAGCTTATTAATATGCTAGTGCATGTTCCACAGTGCATTAATAGTAATATTGTTCATGCAGATGAAAGGGAAGAAAAAAGAATATCAAAAACCATAGGAGAACAAGTTGCAACACAGATGAAATTAACTACTCAGCACAGTAAACTAAACTTAATTTCATAAATAGATATGCAGTTAGATATCTCCATTAAAGCATGTATCTTCTCCAAATACAAAACAGAAGACTCTGGAACATGCTTATGCATTTAGATGTTACTGCTGTAACCAAGTTCCTTTAACAGGAGTTTGTAAATAGATACAGGGTAACTGTGTTCCCAGACTAAATATTTTGAATTATGAGTAGTGGTAATCAATAAGCATGTGTTCTCAAAACACAAGAGTTCTACTTTAGAAAAGCAGAAATATTCTTTTAAATACCAAGCATGCTTCAAAGAAGAAAACCTCTATCTTAAGCCAAAGAATTAGAGATAATATCAAAAAAACCCTTTAACATACTGGAAGTTTTCTGCACAATACAATTACATATATAAGCTATAAGGCATTTTCCTTATCTACCTCAACTACAATCTCTGTATGACTAGCAAAGTACTTCTGATGAAGTCTATGAAAAGAGCATTAATACATCTGATAGCATTAAAAAAAAAAAAAAACCCCCCCCCCCCCCGCCCAGGAGCAGCATTTTGCACTCAAAGTCAGCAGTTTCTTAGCAACACCCAGGCAACATCTTATTTAGAAAACCAATCTGAGTATTGCCACAATGTTCATAAGACAAGCAAATGTTTTAACTACTTTAGGTAATTTATGATAGTGATATTCTATTTCACATGGTTACTTCTATTAAGGCCCAAGCAAGTCAGAAATCCCTCCAAATAATTTTCCTGTTTAAATGGAAGATATGAGACATTCTCCACTTAATCTACCACAGAAGGCAGAATGGGAAGCCTGATTCCCTGCAGCATCACTTCTCATGCTTAACAATACTGTTTCTAAGGTTAAGACCATGGACTTTTATCACAAATGAAGCACATGTAAGAAGTCCTTCATGAGAACAGGTTGCAAAGAGAGGTTGTGGAGTCTCCTTCTCTGGAGATCTTCAAAACCCGCTTGGACGCAGTCCTGTGCCACGGGCTCTGGGTGACCCTGTGTGTGCAGGGGGGTTGGACTAGATGATGTCTAGAGGTCCCTTCCATCCTTAAGGATTCTATGATTCTATGCTTCATTAGTAACTAATGAAGACAGATTTCACTTTTGTTTGTCCTGAGAGTGTGGACATGCTAAAATTACCTGACCCCTCCTCACAGGGAATTTGGTATCTTGACTACTGTCAAGCACAGTTAAACTGATCAGCTGTTCAAAGATACCTGGGAGTTCTCTACACAACTGCATTAAGTTTTATTTCTTCACTCAAACAAAAAAGCTGCATAATTCAAGAGATAGTAACAGAAAACTAAAATTCTGCCACATCTCCATGAATATAGTATTTGTGAATTGATGATGCCACTGAAACAGTTCTGTCTAGTTGCAATAATGAAAGATGACAAGTTAAACTGATTTTGGGGGGTGGGGATGAAGGGGTAGGAGACACTTTCTCAGAAGTACCACACAAGTTCAACAGTGGAACAGGAAATATTTTGTGTACCTCTTCATGGTGAGGACAGTTAATATATCATGTAGGCCATCCTCCTTTTTATCTAAATCTTGGAGTACAATCTATTACAAAGAAGAAGAGAAAATTTAAATTCAAAATGAGCATAAGAGTTTAATAAAAAGACAGCAGGACACAAGTGATAATGTGCACAATTTATTTTGTTTAGCATATGATAATAGTAATTTAACACCAAAGCATGCCCTAGTGTACTTTATATACATACAATGCAATTCTATAGGTATTTAGTTATTTGACTGCCTGTTTTCATGTTGATGGGCCTATTACTAAGGTGACTGGGGAACTCGCAACTCTCACTCACTAGGTTAAGAGCTGAACAATGTCCTCAATCTAGGAACAGTTCTAACTACTACACATTTTCCTATCCCCTCACAGACCTTTGAGCAAGACTAAGGTGGACATTTCGATTGGGTGGAGAGTTAAGA